TTCCACGTGAGGGGAGCAGGATAGCCTGTGACCCACATGCATGGGATCCAGACTTTCCTGTCTGAAATCTCTCTGGACTAAGTCCAGAAAGATAACTCAGTTTTTTCAACCTAATGACTGTCTGGTGATCAAGGTGAGGTAAGTTAATAGTATTATTTCATAATCCCTTCAAATGCTGACTGCCTGCCCACTGCAGGCATAGTACTGACCATGTGGACAGGACATTCCTGGCCGTACTGCCCAAGACAGGAAAGGCTTACTTGACAAAAGCCTTCCTCACCTTCAAATTTCAGGACGGTACAGAACATTAGAACCAGCGGGTTCTTAGAGACCATCAGGTCTACTCCTTTCCATTTTACCAGATGAAGAAGTTAATACCCACCGAGGGGCCAGACTTAGCCAAGGTTACACAGCTGAGGGGTCACAGGCAGCAGCCTCCATCCCTGCCTCAGACTCCCAGCTTCCCCCTGAGGTCACACTGACACCTCACTGCCTTCTCAAACCTGGAAACCCTGCTCAAGGTCCTTGTTTTTCAATGTCTATTTCCCATTTGTTATAAATACAACCATCATTTTCTGGCACTTAATCTCTGCCAGGCACCACTAGAAGGGCTCTCCATAAATTAACTCACTGAATCCTCACAATAACCCTAGAGAGCAGGCTACAATGATTATCCCCATTCTACAGATGGGAAACCTGAGGTAGAGAGAGGTGGCGCAGCCAGGACAGAGCCAGGACCACCTAATGATGGCTCCAGGGTCCCCACTCTAAACCACTCTGTTATTGTTTATGAGAGATAATTGCTTTAAATTATAAAATGATGGAAGAAGAGGAGCAAGGCTTAAAAAGGGTATGTTCACTAGTGTTTGATAATGAATTGAAGAGCTAAACCAAATATTTCATTAATATATGCAATATATTTCTTAATTATTTTTAAGGGAATGCCTGTATATTTGAGGGAAACTTGGGGAGTATATAAACATTTTAAGCATTTTTTAAAGTCAAACAAAATCTGCCACTTGAAGCAGGCAGAGTATTCCCTGAAGGCTGGTTCTACACATGCTACTATGTAAAGCGAAGGTGTCATTGTCCATCACCCTCTATGCTGGCCTTCACTCGTGGCTACAAATCAGTCCTTTTACATCAGCTTTCTATAGAAATCAAACCTCAAATTAATAAACCAAGGATTAAAGTAGGAGAACACACCTTTGAAGATGAAAATACATTTTTTATAAAAGTGTTCAAAACCAAGATCACTGGAACAGATGCCCAAGAGTCAATTACATTTTCACTTTCCTTCATATTAAAAATGATGTCAAATCTCATTATCCTGGTCATCCAGAGAAGAAGTCCAGGAGCAATAATGGTAGAAATAAGCAAATTACAATTGTGCCTAAGATCAAATTTCAAGGGAAAAATTGCAGTCAAGTTAAGAAGACACAGTATCACATAAAAAATTACCTGACATTTTATCAGCCCAATGTCTTTGTGTTAAGTGTGCAGAAGCCCACTCAAAATGCAACAGATCCTCAAATGCTAAAATCAGAAAAGTATTGCCTTAGATATGAAAACCACAGTCTGGAGAATCAAAGCAAGGAACAATAAAAGGCACATAGTAGGCCTGCAAATATTTGTTGAATGAATATAAGAAAACGTTCACAGAAAGAGAGGAGCATGATAGAGACTGTCAAGATGGCAAAACAGCAGAGTGACACTGCGTTGAGCTTTTGAAAACTTCTTAGCCCCAGGACAAGAACAAAAGGACTAAGGATCACAGATACTGGACAAAAATGGCAGAGTACCATTCAGTCAGAACAAAACGCTCTGACCTGACAAGAAAAGTATGTCTAGGGGAGAGTATAGCTCAGTGGTAGAGCGCATGCTTAGCGTGCACAAGGTCATGGGTCTGATCCCCAGTACCTCCATTAAATAAAAAATAATTAATATAAATAAACCTAATTACCCACCCTCACCTCAAAAAAAAGAAAGGAAAGAAAGAGAGAGAGAGAGAGAAAGAAAGAAAGAAAGGAAAGGGAAGGGGAGGGGAGGGAAGGGAAGAAAGAAATCTCTATGCCCAGCTCTATGTAAGGGATTTGAACTCAAGCCTTACAGCATGGCATAATATTTACAGTACAACCCTAATATGGTAAATTCCCTGAATTTGGTGCATTTCAAATATAACAGTTTTTCAGAAAGAGACTCATAGACATACAAGACAATATGGTTACCTAGGAGTGGAAAGGGGGAGGGAAGGATAAATTAGGAGTTTGGGATTGGCTGATACAAACTACTATGTACAGAATAAACAACAAGGCCCTACTGCATAGCACAGGGCACTATATTCAATGGCTTGAAGTAACCCATAATGAAAAAGCATACGAAAAAGAATATATATATATATATATGTATAACTGAATCACTATGTTGTACACCAGAAACTAATACAACATTGTAAATCAACTACACTTCAATTTTAAAGTTTTTTTTTTAAATGTCACCTTGAACAAGTGAAAAAACATATATAGCACTGTTTTTAATTTAGAACTCTCAAGGGGAGTTGCCCAGCTTGACCCATCTGTTCATAACAAATTTAAGGTCACAGGAAAAATACCCTGTAGCTTCTCTGCTTCACTAAAGCAATATAAATACAAATGCAATTAGACAAAACCTACATAGACCAGATCTGTCATATCTGATCAGTAAATTAAAGCGTAACAAAATTACAGTCAGCCTGGGAGTTTAAGAGTAATTTGGGCTCTCTACAGTATTATTCTAGCCATGTCCCAATCGTAAAGGTTTTTCTGACATTTATACCATAAATCTTTTTTCTGGGGAGTCAGCACTTGGTCATAAATTCTGGGAGAACTTGAAGTTAGAGCTTAAGTACCAATATAGTGGTTACCAATTTTGCACAGAATGCTTAATTTAGAAGTAACATTATATGCCCCTATTTGTCTTAACACCTATTTAGAACACATTTCTTTTTCTCATATGGCATACACTAAAGGAGGTCATGTATCAGAGCTCACCTGAAATTCCTGCCCAATTTAAGTCTTAGCTACAGCAGCAGTTTCTTATAAGAGCACAATGAGAAAATATTCCAAACTCTTCTGCAGTACTCATATGATTTAAAAAAAAAAAAGTGTGAAACCCAAGTGAGGCCCTGGGTGAAATTTCATAGAGCCTTAGTTACCAACTACTATTTTCCTCTTTACCTTTAAGTGTTTCTAAACTGCTTAAAGGACAGGAGAGGTGCTTCAAAGGAAAGTCTAACGACACACCTGTTATATAACCTGTTCTTAGTTGGCCGGGTTCTGTGGGTTTGATAAGGAAGAAAACACAAAAGCAGACAAACACTGATTCTCTGTTCTCCATTCTCCCATTAGCCAGGACATTCATCTGAGTCACACACCCAATAGCTAGCTCTGTGCCTCAGTTTCCCTAACCACTAAATATGAGGTCTGCTGCTATCCAAATTCCTATTTGATCACAGTTAGTGAGCACAATAATCACACAGAAAGTCCACATCAGAACATTCCACTGAAATACTACGTTGTATAAGAAAATGCCAAAGGTTTTGGTAGTATTAACTTCTTTTACTCCAAATACTCCAAAGGAGTCAGCTTGGCCATTAATCAAGATAAAGCAAATACTTCTGTGCTTTAAGAATGTGTATACAGAAACCCAGGACAGATATATTAAGAAGCTTCCTAGGTAAAGCTGTCACTCTGCTTGGATTGTCATGTGCTAAGAGCAACCCACAGAACCTAAGAGGACAGGTCTTCGATTTTGTTTTTATTGTGGAAACAGGACTTCAATTCCCCTGACATCTTCAGGGCCTAGAACACAAGATGGCAAAGTTTTAGAAAACCAGGGGTCCCAATGGGACCCCACCCTCGATGATCAGTTCTTTCTAAACGTCTCATTTTTTCTGTATTTCTTACCCAGTTGGCACAGGTCTGGTGGTAAACCTCTTTAAATCTGGGTCTGCGGAGATCTGTAGGGACACAGGCTGGCGTCAAGAAGGGAAAAGTTGCGGCCATTCCTCAATCCACTCAGCTTTGATCAATGCAGGGATGCTGTGGGTTCCTAGGGAGGTGGATGGATTCTCTCCTGGAAATCTAATTGGTGTCTGGGAAACCAGAGCTGGGTTTCCAAGGCAGCCTGAGCACCCAACTTCCACACAGCGCTGGATAACCGAGGATGCCTCCTTGGCCAAGCACAGGCCGTCATTATGACCCCTGTGGAAACTCCCAGCACCCACACCCCAGGTATCCAAGGGGAAAACAGATCCGTAAGTTAATCTTAAGGAAATTCGACAGAATTCTGGCCGCCCCTCCTAAACAAGTACTGTATAGCACAGGGAACTATATTCAGTAACCTGTAATGAAAAAGAACATATGCATGTATATGTATGACTGAAGTGTTATGCTGTACACCAGAAACTGACACAACATTGTAAACTGACTACACTTCAATTAAGAAAGAAAGGAAGAACCATAGATGCCTTAAAAGCACGTTTCCACACGAAAGAAATGTTAGCGCTTGTGTCTTGAGCTTCCGCCTGGTCTGCGACTCCCTTGGGACCCGGCCCTGCCGAGCACCCTCACCCCGGAGCCCGGCACTGATGGAGAAGGGAGACCCCAGGTTCCGAGGCTCTCCCTTCTCCAAGGAAAGAAGACCACTTACTTCTCCAGGGCCCAAAGGGCACCGGCCGGGACTCCACCCGCCCCTCCCCATCCCCAGAGCGGGGCCGGCGAGGACGAGAGGGGCCGCGCAGCCTCTGCACTTGTTGCGGTCCCCGAGGGACCGGGAGGCGGGGGCCATCCCCCGCGCAGCCGGGCCCGCGGCAGCACCCGCTTTCCACCCCTACGGACCCTCGCGCCCCCGGGACCCTGGAGAAAGTAGCTCGGCCAAGGCGAACTCAGGTGAGGCGGGCGAACGTTTCCGCCCCGTGCGGCCGGGAGACGCGGGGATGGAGCCCGCCAAAGAGCACCTACCCGAAGCGGCGGCTCCGCAGCCTCCCGCGCGCGAGCGAAGCGCTGCGCCCGGAACGCCCGCCGGAG